AAAAAAAAATACATGAATTATAATATTTTTTAAAAACCTTAAAAAATATATTTCCAAAAAAAAAAAACATTTTCGCTGACATGCGCATAAAAATTAAAAAACAATATGGAGAACAGCCATTAAGATAATAAGATAACAAGACCATTCCTAATGCATTGCAAGCTGGGAACAACACTGATGAAGACCTAGTACAAACGACAAAGATCAATTAATTAATCCGTGAATTGTTTTAGTGCAGCGTGGGGTTCAGCCGCCTGTGCAGCCAGGCTCGGCTCTGCCGTCACAGAGGGCTTCACAGGCGTGCAGATGAGCTCCTCGGGGAGATCTGGAATGCCCTGCAGATAGAAGGTATAGTAGAGCTTGAAAGGGAAAACGATTTGGTGAAGCAAGACCTGGCCAGAAACTCCGGCGAAGACGCCGGAGCCGCCGGTCACCGCCAGGTAAGTGTCCTCGTAGGTTAGATAAGAACCCTGAACCGAGATATGCCCGTATTCTCCGAAATAGAAGCTGTAGATCGCCTCATACCTATCCCCTTTCTCGGGCACGTTTTGGATCAGAACAGTTAACCCGGCTGTTATGCCAAGCCTCTTGTCCAGATTCCCGCTGTACAACTGCATACCAGGTTATGGCCAAAAGCAGTAAAGAAGTAAAGAAGCTAATCTTTAGAAGGTACCTTGTTGCTGAAGGGGACGAGATCGCCTAGGGAATTGACTTCCTTCTGGCTTAAGCGGAGATAGACAGGGCTTCCGCGGTCTCTTTCGTTGATCTCGTACACATGTAGCTCCTGGACATCGCCTGCAGAGACGATTCGGTGGTTAGTTGGCTAACGCGAACAGTTAATGCCAATGAGGTCAAGATTGCGATGGTTGGAGTTTACTCTGCCGGGAGGAGCCGGGTGGAGTTTGCTTGGAGAATAGGGAGGCGGAGATTGGCCTGATCCTGCGGATCGGTGCAGGGGAAAACAAACTATGCAGTTTGAGGTCGGTTGGAGATCTACAGCGTTGGAGACAGAGTGTCGGACGACTTCTTGTTTCTGACAGACGGCGGTTGGAGCCTGAGGCTAGTGGAGAGGTTGAGGAGGAGGCGGCGGCTCTGAACTTGAGTGAAAAGGCGGAGGTTGCCATGGTTTGATGATGATGATGATGATGATTGAGTGGAGAGAAGTGAAAAGGAAAGTAATGGGGTGATGAAGACGGGGAGAGGAACAGGCGGCTTAAAAGGACGAAGGATGGATGGCTAATAAGAAGGAAAAAATATTAAGTCCGAAAGCATGGGTGATTGAGCCCATTGCAGAATCATCCATGGATTAAACGTGTAAAACGAACAGGGACAACTTTGGAATAATGATTGTGGGAAAGGATTGATTCAAATTGACAATTTACTTGTAGTGTATTATCCCCAACCAAAAAATTGTGAGCCAAAATTACATAATATGATAAAAGATAAAAGAAATTTCTAAGCCTTTTTTTTTTTTTCATTTGTCAAAACGAAATGTGATTTTTAAAATTTGATAATAGTTTACAAATCCCCAACTATTGGGCCACCCTCTCATCCGCGATTATTCATCCATTTCTTCTATGTTTATAATAAGATGGGTTTGATGTCAGCTCTATTGTATAGCTCTGTGTGGCCTCCACCATCATATAGTTGTCAAACTGCTATCATTAAATAGTAACTACATAATCAATATTCTTTGATCACTTACTATTTATTCATTATTGTTTAGACGCCACAATTAGACAACTATTATCTGATCACAATCATCTTCGATGGTTGTCATACTACAAACGCCTAACCACCATCATTGGATTAGCAAAATCGTATTGCATATATTAAATCAACACCATTTGATTGTCAATGATAGAACACCTGTGTCGAACAACTGTTAACAAATCTCCACCAGTAGAATGTCTTTAGCTAACTACGATACTCCAATTGGAAACTCTGGACCACCATACAAAAACTAAAATTTCCCAGTTATGGTCTTTTAAACACCGTCACTTATTAGATTCTCATGATAATTGCACCTAACTACAATCTTCTATGAATAAGTGCCTAATTATAAACTCTTAACAGCTATCACCCAATGATAATCTCTTAAATACTACCTCACAATTACCATTGTTTGGCTATAGTCTCTCATCCATTATCACTCAACTAAAATCTCTTGACCATAATTACTAGACTATTATTGCATGATTACAATTACTTAAAGTGACATATTATGCCCTTATCATGTAAATAGACATTTTTATCTTAAATTATATTAAATTTTGTGATAATCTTACTAATTAGCTTCTTATTGATATAGTATGTTGAGAATCATTATTATAAATAATGTCAACAAATAAAGGTCCAACAATATTAAACAAAACTTAAAATACTCTAAACTTAAATTTGTTAATATGAGATATATATAAAATCTACTAAACATATTACATTTGATTCCTTCTAGTTAGTTTGAAAACTAGAGCAAACACATTAAGAAAATATAAAAAAAGTATTAACTTGCTAAAATATATACTTATGAAACAACCATAACATTAAATAATATGGAACCAATAGATCTATTATTCTTATAATTATTTACCTTAATTAATGTATCATGCTAAAAAATTTCTGATGATGAAGAGATAATTTTACATCCTAAATTTACATAGAGATCTTGCACTTATATAGATAGAAGAAATAATAATGAATATACCATAGTTTTTTATAATAAAAACTTGAAAATAGTAAAAATAAAAGGAAAAGATTAAATATGTTGATAGAGTTTATAACGTTTTGCTCTTCCAGTAAATAGGAAAAGATTGGATTCCAAAGTATAGAACTAAATATTTGACTTCATATGTATGTAGTTAAGAAAGTTGTACAAGCATTAAAGAGTGAAGAGAGTGATTGTTCAACAACAGAACAATGATGATGATCAAGCGATGGATGTCTAATAATGATAAAAAATTTGATGAAGGTTGATCATAGAAGATTAGAGGATGTTAACTAGGCATGATGGTCCAGCAATACTAAACAATGATGACAATCAAATGATAGTGTATTTTGGTAATAAACATTGATATTGAATGTTGAATTGAGCTCTAGAGTGCCTTAGATTTCAAAGCTCTGTCCTTTTAATTCAAGATCATTTCATAGAAAGAATTATGTTCTATATATTGTTTTCTTGAATGGAAACTTAATAACTTTAGTCAAAATTTGAATATACTCCATTAACTAGCCATTTTTATTTTGTTTATAATAGATTTTTGAAGTATTTAAGTGCATAATAAACTAAAATTTATTGAACTTGAGCTCATTTGATTCCTCATGCCAAACCGCTTGTTTTAGAACAGGCGGATCAAAATTAGAGAATTTTTAGTATTTTAATTCTCTTTTGAGTAGTTAAATTTAGCACTTTTTGAGTCAGATTTGACCACTTTTAATATTATTGGATTTATATCATAAGATATTTGGCTTAACTAAAATTGACAATGAAAAGATTATATGATCTTAAGTATAATCTGAAAAATTCTCAATTGAATTTATTTATTAAGATTTCTACATAATTGAGTGAACTTTTTGAAATTGTATAATTTGTCTCTAATTTTGAACATTAAAGCCTTTATCATCACTCACACGCACAAACACACACACACACATTAAAGAATGTTATGGTACAAAATAATAATTAAGAAAAGGTCAGTATGAGAGCATTGCCATCAACTCATATTATCAAAGAGAACTGCTACCATAAATGTGAATGTGATTTTAATATTCCTTCTCGCTTAGTAGAAGAAGGCTTAGTAGCATAATTTCAATTGATGAATGTTTTCTAACGGAAAATTATATAATTGAAGCATCTTAAAAAACTTAAAATCCCCATCCTTGATTCTTATAAGGGAAGACAAACCAATAAATAACATTGTTAATCTCAAATTAATTACTTTTTTATTAGAAGTTCATCAAGCTTTAAATAATTTTTTTACCAATTTAGTAATTTATCTCTCACCTGTTTCTATCACATGTCTTTAGAGACTATTGCTTCTTTCTTAGAATTTAAGAAGCAATTAATCATTTAGATTGACAACACTCCAAGAACATAATGGAGATGCTTTAAGTGAAAAGCCATAAGTTTATTGTGGCTCAAGCTACTCTCATATAAGATCAAAATGAGGGGCTTTTTCTCTATGTTATTGCCATTCAATAGCTAAAGACTTTTACTGAGTTTATGGAACACACAAATAATTATGTTATGATAATTTTGTTGGCACAATTTTAGGGATCACTGTTGAAGCTATCGATCGCCTAAATAGGAAATCCCGTCGCCCGCTTCGGAGGGGCATTTAATTTATATATATATATAGAGTTTAGAAAAATATGAAATCAAAATGATCTCATACATTTCATAATTTAAATGAAAGAGCACTATACATTAAGCTATGTTTCTATCTCGAAATATAAACACATGACTTGATAGTGAGGTTCAATCAAATAAACTAAGAAATGTATTACATCTGTTTGGTCTGTGAAACCATTTTCTTATAAGCCGACAAATTTCTCTATTTAATATGAAAAATTAAATAGAGTTTATATTAAGCTGGGTTCGCAAAAGTTTCCTATAAAGACAGCCCTTTTAGTTAATTATATTTTAGATAACTGAAGTCTCCTAAAAAAACTCTCGATAAAAATCCGGAGATATTGTCTTTAAGGAGTTCAAAGAATAGGACTTTTCAAAGATATCGGACAAAAATGTGTAAAAGGGGAATGACTCAATTTTAGAACATTTATTTTTGGAATCCAAAGGAATAAGAACTAGAGGATGTCACGGATCCTGAGGAGAACCTCAGTGACTTCCCAAGCTATCGTACGGTTTGGTTTCAATTTATAGGAGAAATATTTAACTGTTTTATCCTACCAATTTTATTATTTAGGACTTACATTCATGTGAAACGCCCACACAAATAGCCGGGAAGATGTGAGGATTTAAGTCATGACGAACGACAACCTCGAAATCTAAAACAAGTTAGAGTTTAAATTGTATATTAGAGCCATACAAAGGCCTAAAGATAGGTTGAGGATTTATGTCGCACTAAGCGAACAACCTCAAAATCCTATAGCTTGTTGTTTAATTCTAAGGAATGGTTTAGTTGGTATAGACATGTTTTGTTGTTGAAGATGATCGTGTTGCTCACAATGCTAGCTCTAAGCTTCTTGTCGTGGCGAGTTTAAGTTTTTGTTGGCACTATTTTTGGTGTGGAGTTTGCCCGTAAGAAGCTGTCGGCCATCGGAATTGAAATCCCGTTGCCCGCTTCGGAAGGACGTTAAAAAAATTTAGTTTTGAAAAAGATGAAGTCAAACTGACCCCATAATTTTCATAGTTTAAATGGAAGAGCACTTTACCTCAAATTCTGTATCTATCCCAAAGGATGAATACAAGAATTGAGGGTAAGGCTCGATCAAATAAACTAGAGAAAGTCATGACATCCGGTTGATCTGCGGAACCAATATATTGGCCGACAAATTCCCCTATTTAATATAA